GTTTTTAATTTTAAGTTTTAAAAAGAAATCAAGATCAGCCGCCGCACAATTATTGTACTACACAGAGTCAGAGAGAGAGAGAGAGAGAGAGAGACAGTGCGAGAGAATGCATTCGGTGTTCAATGCTTGTGTATAATTTGTTGGAATTATTATTCCTACTTTAGGCTAATGTAACTTTTTTTAGAATTGACCTAGAGCTTCAGTAAAACCACCATATGAATCCTTAAAGTATCAGGATTCCCTCGATAAATTTTCATATTGCTAATTGACTTAGATCAGTGTTTTTTTGCCGTTTGGAAAAAATGAGGAAGATTCTTAGATTTTCAAAGATCGATAAAAAATAGTAAACATTAAAATATCGAATATTAAATTAAATAGAATCTTTATTATGTAGAGGACTAAATTTTGGCCAAAAATCGCATCGATTGATTAACGCGTTTAGCGTTCAGATTTTTTTATAGAAATTGGGAATTTTTTTGCCACTGGAAGAAAATGGGGGCATGTTTGTGGCCAAAATAAATCTTAGCAAATCAGTTTAGTGTTATAAGAATTGAATGGTAAAAAATTTTAATAGGGTCATTTAATTAGTTTAGGCTGTGCGTTGATTCTTAGTTTTCAATGAACAGTTTTATATATATAGATGACTCCCCCTGCCCTCTTTCACAAAGCCCAGCGGCTTGAACGCTTTGACGGGGTTTATTCGTGTGTGTTGCTGGTATAATTTAATTTTAATTTATTGTTAATTTATTGTTAAGTTTAATTTAGTTTTAAGTTTTTAATTTTAAGTTTTAAAAAGAAATCAAGATCAGCCGCCGCACAATTATTGTACTACACAGAGTCAGAGAGAGAGAGAGAGAGAGAGACAGTGCGAGAGAATGCATTCGGTGTTCAATGCTTGTGTATAATTTGTTGGAATTATTATTCCTACTTTAGGCTAATGTAACTTTTTTTAGAATTGACCTAGAGCTTCAGTAAAACCACCATATGAATCCTTAAAGTATCAGGATTCCCTCGATAAATTTTCATATTGCTAATTGACTTAGATCAGTGTTTTTTTGCCGTTTGGAAAAAATGAGGAAGATTCTTAGATTTTCAAAGATCGATAAAAAATAGTAAACATTAAAATATCGAATATTAAATTAAATAGAATCTTTATTATGTAGAGGACTAAATTTTGGCCAAAAATCGCATCGATTGATTAACGCGTTTAGCGTCCAGATTTTTTTTATAGAAATTGGGGGTTTTTTGCCACTGGAAGAAAATGGGGGCATGTTTGTGGCCAAAATAAATCTTAGCAAATCAGTTTAGTGTTATAAGAATTGAATGGTAAAAAATTTTAATAGGGTCATTTAATTAGTTTAGGCTGTGCGTTGATTCTTAGTTTTCAATGAACAGTTTTATATATATAGATGACTGCCCCCTGCCCTTTTCACAAAGCCCAGCGGCTTGAACGCTTTGACGGGGTTTATTCGTGTGTGTTGCTGGTATAATTTAATTTTAATTTATTGTTAATTTATTGTTAAGTTTAATTTAGTTTTAAGTTTTTAATTTTAAGTTTTAAAAAGAAATCAAGATCAGCCGCCGCACAATTATTGTACTACACAGAGTCAGAGAGAGAGAGAGAGAGAGAGACAGTGCGAGAGAATGCATTCGGTGTTCAATGCTTGTGTATAATTTGTTGGAATTATTATTCCTACTTTAGGCTAATGTAACTTTTTTTAGAATTGACCTAGAGCTTCAGTAAAACCACCATATGAATCCTTAAAGTATCAGGATTCCCTCGATAAATTTTCATATTGCTAATTGACTTAGATCAGTGTTTTTTTGCCGTTTGGAAAAAATGAGGAAGATTCTTAGATTTTCAAAGATCGATAAAAAATAGTAAACATTAAAATATCGAATATTAAATTAAATAGAATCTTTATTATGTAGAGGACTAAATTTTGGCCAAAAATCGCATCGATTGATTAACGCGTTTAGCGTTCAGATTTTTTTATAGAAATTGGGAATTTTTTTGCCACTGGAAGAAAATGGGGGCATGTTTGTGGCCAAAATAAATCTTAGCAAATCAGTTTAGTGTTATAAGAATTTAATGGTAAAAAATTTTAATAGGGTCATTTAATTAGTTTAGGATGTGCGTTGATTCTTAGTTTTCAATGAACAGTTTTATATATATAGATTAATTTAATTTATAGTTATTAAGTTTAATTTAAGTTTTTAATTTTAAGTTTTAAAAAGAAATCAAGATCAGCCGCCGCACAATTATTGTACTACACAGAGTCAGAGAGAGAGAGAGAGAGAGAGAGACAGTGCGAGAGAATGCATTCGGTGTTCAATGCTTGTGTATAATTTGTTGGAATTATTATTCCTACTTTAGGCTAATGTAACTTTTTTTAGAATTGACCTAGAGCTTCAGTAAAACCACCATATGAATCCTTAAAGTATCAGGATTCCCTCGATAAATTTTCATATTGCTAATTGACTTAGATCAGTGTTTTTTTGCCGTTTGGAAAAAATGAGGAAGATTCTTAGATTTTCAAAGATCGATAAAAAATAGTAAACATTAAAATATCGAATATTAAATTAAATAGAATCTTTATTATGTAGAGGACTAAATTTTGGCCAAAAATCGCATCGATTGATTAACGCGTTTAGCGTCCAGATTTTTTTTATAGAAATTGGGGTTTTTTTGCCACTGGAAGAAAATGGGGGCATGTTTGTGGCCAAAATAAATCTTAGCAAATCAGTTTAGTGTTATAAGAATTGAATGGTAAAAAATTTTAATAGGGTCATTTAATTAGTTTAGGCTGTGCGTTGATTCTTAGTTTTCAATGAACAGTTTTATATATAATAGACTGCCCCCTGCCCTTTTCACAAAGCCCAACGGCTTGAACGCTTTGAGGGGTTTATTCGTGTGTGTTGCTGGTATAATTTAATTTTAATTTATTGTTAATTTATTGTTAAGTTTAATTTAGTTTTAAGTTTTTAATTTTAAGTTTTAAAAAGAAATCAAGATCAGCCGCCGCACAATTATTGTACTACACAGAGTCAGAGAGAGAGAGAGAGAGAGAGACAGTGCGAGAGAATGCATTCGGTGTTCAATGCTTGTGTATAATTTGTTGGAATTATTATTCCTACTTTAGGCTAATGTAACTTTTTTTAGAATTGACCTAGAGCTTCAGTAAAACCACCATATGAATCCTTAAAGTATCAGGATTCCCTCGATAAATTTTCATATTGCTAATTGACTTAGATCAGTGTTTTTTTGCCGTTTGGAAAAAATGAGGAAGATTCTTAGATTTTCAAAGATCGATAAAAAATAGTAAACATTAAAATATCGAATATTAAATTAAATAGAATCTTTATTATGTAGAGGACTAAATTTTGGCCAAAAATCGCATCGATTGATTAACGCGTTTAGCGTCCAGATTTTTTTTATAGAAATTGGGGGTTTTTTGCCACTGGAAGAAAATGGGGGCATGTTTGTGGCCAAAATAAATCTTAGCAAATCAGTTTAGGGTTTAAAAAATTGAAAGGTAAAAAATTTTAATAGGGTCATTTAATTAGTTTAGGCTGTGCGTTGATTCTTAGTTTTCAATGAACAGTTTTATATACATATAGAGATGTAATAGAATTAAGAAATCAGAATTGAAAAAAAAAAATGGGGGGGGGTGTTTTTAGGCGCCCCCCAATTAAAAAAAAATTATTTAACAAAGCCTCATAAAGAAAATATAACACAATATAGCGCCCCTATATACACCCAATAGAAAAGAAATCTTTAGGAAATACAGTTTCAAGATGACTTGATCAAAATTGAATGTATATAATTTATATGGTCGGAAATGTCTCCTTCACTGCGTTGCAAACTTTTGACTGAAATTATATACTAATATTGTATAAAAATCCCAAAGTCCCATAAGTTAACATTTCTCCAACCTCAAAACATTCTGCATTTGACAATTCTCTGAGATGTTCGTTTTAATATTAATTTTATCTATTAAATAAATTTGTCGTTTCTACGCAAACTAGTCCCTCAGTTTTAAAGCTTTTTCCTTGAAACTTTCCTAAAAGTTGTATTTTTATTGCAGGTAGTATATATTTCGGAACGAGTCGGATCGGGAGACTAAATCATATAGCTCCCATAGGAACAATCAAAAAAAATGTAAAAAAGTATAACTTTGTTGTTTTTAATTCTTTTTGTTGATCTTTCGGATTTGGTAATATTTAAATACTATGGAATTACGGTTTTAATTAAATTAAAATCAGGCATCTATATCATAACAGGGTGGCCCATCTAGCCTTTGCTCCTTGAACTATCGATAATTTTGACTTTGACATTTCGAATAGGGATGTCAAATATTTTTAAAATATCGTATCGCTGATATATTTTCCTTAAGAAAAATATTGATATGATTTTTAATATATCGCCAAAAAAAATCGATATATCAGATATTTTTGATATTTTTTTTTCAGTTGAATTTCAAAATTTTAGCCGCCTAAATAAGCTAACAACAAGGAAACAAGACTTCTGCCATAAATTAAAGTAAAAGCACTAGAAAAATATACAAAATAAAATGCATGTTGTTACAATTGTTATTTTATTAGTTTCATAAGTCTTTGCATATGGATTTTAAAAATACTCTTTCCGTTATGTGGCAGACAACGCACTTAATAGCCGACGCTAACCGCTCTGACGACTCTGAGCTACCCGGGGTAATTAGGTAGCATAGCGCAACACTCGAAAGATTTTGTAAATTGTCTTTCTGGGAGTACCAGAATTCCATCGGATCGCTGTCCCAGTCGGTGTGAGGCATGTTATGTACATGAGAGAAAGATATGCACGTATCAAATAATATCGAAAAATAAACTATCGATATTTTGATATTTGGCTAAAAAAATATCACGATATTAGTTTTTTTTGCAAAAAATATCGATATATTGAAATTTTGATATATTTTTGACATCCCTAATTTCGAATGTCATTGTCAATGTGTCAGATATTTAGTAGAAGGTTTGCGGTTTACGAAATGGTTAAGTTTGCGCTCGAAGAAAATTGGGAAATATTAAAAACTTTCTTCCAAAGTCTTCAACCGAAACTGCAAGAAAATTGCTGTCAAATTTCGGAAAAAATAAAGGGGCTTCCAGGTAGCTTGTGGATAGTTTTGTGAAGCGTGTGCGTGAGACTGGATCGTTGATGGATAAAACAACACGTTTACGTGCTCGTCCAGTTCGGTCGGTGGAAAATATCGGTGCGGTGGCCGAAAGTGTCAATGACAATCCGTCAACATTAAAGCCTAGTATCCAGATCGACAAACGATTACGCTAGCGTAAAAATTTTGTTATGGAACTGCATTTGGTCCTGGGACGGCGCCGGCTAGCTCCCGAATCCCCAGGGCGGAGTATCCCCAATGTCCCTACAGATTCCACAACATAAACATCGATGACACGCGTCTCACATCACAAAAAATATCGGTCTTCACTAACAAGCAACACAAACAAAATGTAAACAATGCAATTAATTGAAGTGACGGGAAATATATGGCGTTTTGGTGGCTATTGGTGACCTAGCCAAGCACGCCCACCCAACCAAGGATGCCCCGGATGATTCTGCGGAGGCATCACCCATGATCAGCTGGTCCAAGTCACTCCTCGCGACTAGGACAGCTCCATCTCCCCCACAACGACAACTCACTCGTACATTTCAGTCTTCATGTACATTTAATATCCACAGTAAGTACTAAAGTTAACATAACTTGTTCTCCTAGTAATTAATTTATCCTTTCATAGCCTCTACGACCAAACTTGGCCACCGTCTTCAAATTTAATCGGTCAAAGCGGAAGATTACCTTCCTTTGGCAAAGGCTACAGGCGCCGCGGAAATAATGTTCCACCAGTCACTTATTGGTGGAACTCGCATTGAACGAGGCGCACAAAAGCACACACACGGTTAGTGTGTCGGGTCACCTAATCCTGAGGAGCTCCTGGGGAAAAGAAGGGACAGGCCAAACGGTAAGTATTACGCGCTGTAAACAATCCCGCCGAAAACTAATAATCGCGACCCTTTTTTACAGGCAACAACGAGGACAAGAATTGGGGTTGTCGGGTCTAAGTCCGGATAAATTTACAGGTCAACAGGTAAGTACATAAATTTAGTAATGTGCACAGTTAAATTAACGTTAATAATTTCAGCCACTTCTGGGCTAGGCGCCGGGCTAACTATGCCCCGACTACAGCGTACTCTGCCGGAGACCAGCAGCAGTAAGGGCCTGGAACACCCCGAGGAGCGGTGGCGAAGGCGAGCCTGATGGCGGTGCCTCTCAACGCCGCGCGCACTGGCAGCCTGACGACCCCAAAGCAGGTGGGTCTTAATAGCGCGGAACGGACTCACCGGTGAATGTCGGATGGCGTTGGCTGCGTCCGAGGAAGGCGAGTAGTGTTTGTCCAGATCTCGTAGCTGGCTCGACCGAAGGTGCGTATTTTCCTGATTTCCCAGATTTAATTTCCTCCAATGTAAAATCACGATTTATTTCCAATTTGACTTTCCAGATTTAATTCCCTCCAATTTAAATCTCCAATTTGAATTTCCAGATTTAATTAGTCCAATTTTATATGTCCAATTAAGTCTTCTAATTTGAACTTCCAATTTAATTTCCTCCAATTTAAATATCCCGGGGCCCTTTGTATTGGGACCCCGGTTGCCCTACGAATAATTATTTATAAATAAAATAAACTATTAAACCTAACACAAATTTCTCTAACACTCACTTTTTATTATATTTCGGCACAAACACTATTTTAACATTTTTGTTCTGTCTGCTGGGACAATATGGCTGCGACTATATAGAAATTTGCCTATCATGCCTATATCTCGCCATATTCCCTTCGCCTCTCTCGAAATTGGGTCATTGGGCATATCAAGGCCATCCTAGCCATACCCAGAGCGAACCGGGCTAGTTTAAAATAGCTAGATAGCCAAGACATCAGCAGAAGGGGGCGCCACTCCAGTAGGAGTTGCCACCCTCCTTCTTTATCGATAGCCCTACCAAAAACGAATACCTCCTTCTTAATTCTTCCAGCCGATTCCAACTTGAAATGCAACACCACCCAAGGATTTAGAGGGACGCCTTTAAACCATGGCCACTCGACGAAATCATTGGGAGCATTGGAGATCGGTGTCTGGCGAAATCCGAATGCAGTTCCAAACGGTGCCCTACGCGGGGCCCACGCTTACCAGTAAGTACTGCCTTTGTTTTTTTGTTGTGCTCCTTCAATTTATGCTGCCTCTGCAGGAACTCCACTCGGAAGACGAAGTCCTCCACCGAGTTGCGGTCGTCCTCGCCGTCAAATGCATCGCCCCACCACTCGAAGCGAACATGTTGGCTGCCGCCACCTAGTCCAGTATTGGCATAAAAGCATCGCTCCTCGCGGAAATCTGAAGCTCTCCGGTCCTCGATGTGCCAATTTCGGGACTCGTTGCGCCGCCCTCGGTCGCCATCCAGAGGATATCCTGGACTGCTGCTTTCCACCGGTAACGGGTCCACGGGCCTTCTAGGCGGCTTTGGTGGAACCTTTGGTGGCGGTGGACGGGAGCCAATCGTGTCTGCTGATGGTGCAGTCTTTGGAATCGCCCCTTTCTGGACCAGACTTGGAGCCAGTGGTGCCGCCGGGTCCGTCCAACCCGGATGCTGTTGCTGATCGGTATGGTTCCCCAGTGGAAGCTGCGGCCGCTGAGCAGTAGGCCTTAACACCTCGTTCATCAACTTCATCATTTCCAGGAAGCCACCTCGGATTTCATCCCTTAAGGACTGGCTGACGCCGGACTCCTGAGCCTTTCGATGGGTCTCTGCAGCCTGGGCCAATGCCACGTTTACGGCCGATTTCGCCGCGTTGTCCAGAAACGCCTCCGAGCTCACTTGCTCCAGAACTTGATGTTGTGTGGGATCTGATCCCATCTGAAGTTCCCTGCGCAGTTCCTGATGAAGACGACCCAACGGAGTCCTTGGCAGTCCCATCGATATCCGTGGCTGTTCGGCCCCGGCAACCTCATCTAAATCGGTGGACCACAATTTCTCCTCTTCCTCGGCCGGAAGAACCTTCGATCGGAGATCGTAATTGGAAGGCATCTTCGTATCGCACAAACAAAACAGAAATATACCTATCTCCCTCAGAATTACTATATCCTACCCTAAACAAATCACCACAAGAAATAAATACTTAAGAAGAATAATAAATATTAAAATAAGGACTAGCAAATAATAAATAAACAGATAAATATATAAACATGTAATAACAGATAATAATTATAGAAACAAAATTTTAAATAAATAAATAAATGTTTTGAATAAATAAATAAATGTAAAATTATAAATCAATAGATAATTTTTTTTTTTTTAGTAAATAAATAAATGTTTGGAAAAATAAATAAATAATGTACGAAAATAAATAGAATAAATAAATAGATATGATTTATTTATGATTCCTCCTTTATTGATTTAATTCTTCTGAGATTTTTATCAGGGGAGATGGAACTGACCCTCGCCGGTGGACTTCCGACCTAGCTCGTCCGGTGCTTTCCAAAACCCAATTTTTCCCGTCACATCCTTCCACACGCCGCTCGTCAACTGGACTGGCTATCACTCTTGGTGATAGCCGCCAGTTAAGGACATCGGCTGCTCGTTGAGTCCTGTTGGCTTTGTTTTCCCGTTTGTGGTTTGATCCTTAAATCGAGGTGTTCGTGCAGCGCGTGTACATAAGTCACGGGTCACGAACACACATTTAAGCATCCAACCGACAGAAGGTATCAAACACATCCGAGAAACAAAAGCCTCAGGATCAACAAAAACAACAACTACGGATTAACTACAACGGACTTTACCCCAAAACACAAAATATAAATATAAATAAATAAATAAATAAAAATCTACGCCCTAACTATTTTATCACAGTTTATATCACAAATTTAGTTATCTGCGGATGCAAATCTTTTGCCTTCAGGTTGCTGTGACCAGGAGCCATTGTCTCCATTCGGAGTCAAGCCTCCTGCCTGCTCAAAAATCCCTCTAAACCTTTCTCTCTGCCTCGCAGCCCACCACTCTCGGTGCAGTTGCATACAACCTGCTGTTGCTCTGCAAGTCACCGGAGCGGAGGCTATGCGAGGCAAATCCCTATATGCGAGACGTCGTCGTCTCGACGATTTATTTTTTTACATTGGGCGCCACTATGTTATGGAACTGCATTTGGTCCTGGGACGGCGCCGGCTAGCTCCCGAATCCCCAGGGCGGAGTATCCCCAATGTCCCTACAGATTCCACAACATAAACATAGATGACACGCGTCTCACATCACAAAAAATATCGGTCTTCACTAACAAGCAAAACAAACAAAATGTAAACAATGCAATTAATTGAAGTGACGGGAAATATATGGCGTTTTGGTGGCTATTGGTGACCTAGCCAAGCACGCCCACCCAACCAAGGATGCCCCGGATGATTCTGCGGAGGCATCACCCATGATCAGCTGGTCCAAGTCACTCCTCGCGACTAGGACAGCTCCATCTCCCCCACAACGACAACTCACTCGTACATTTCAGTCTTCATGTACATTTAATATCCACAGTAAGTACTAAAGTTAACATAACTTGTTCTCCTAGTAATTAATTTATCCTTTCATAGCCTCTACGACCAAACTTGGCCACCGTCTTCAAATTTAACCGGTCAAAGCGGAAGATTACCTTCCTTTGGCAAAGGCTACAGGCGCCGCGGAAATAATGTTCCACCAGTCACTTATTGGTGGAACTCGCATTGAACGAGGCGCACAAAAGCACACACACGGTTAGTGTGTCGGGTCACCTAATCCTGAGGAGCTCCTGGGGAAAAGAAGGGACAGGCCAAACGGTAAGTATTACGCGCTGTAAACAATCCCGCCGAAAACTAATAATCGCGACCCTTTTTTACAGGCAACAACGAGGACAAGAATTGGGGTTGTCGGGTCTAAGTCCGGATAAATTTACAGGTCAACAGGTAAGTACATAAATTTAGTAATGTGCACAGTTAAATTAACGTTAATAATTTCAGCCACTTCTGGGCTAGGCGCCGGGCTAACTATGCCCCGACTACAGCGTACTCTGCCGGAGACCAGCAGCAGTAAGGGCCTGGAACACCCCGAGGAGCGGTGGCGAAGGCGAGCCTGATGGCGGTGCCTATCAACGCCGCGCGCACTGGCAGCCTGACGACCCCAAAGCAGGTGGGTCTTAATAGCCCGGAACGGACTCACCGGTGAATGTCGGATGGCGTTGGCTGCGTCCGAGGAAGGCGAGTAGTGTTTGTCCAGATCTCGTAGCTGGCTCGACCGAAGGTGCGTATTTTCCTGATTTCCCAGATTTAATTTCCTCCAATGTAAAATCACGATTTATTTCCAATTTGATTTTCCAGATTTAATTCCCTCCAATTTAAATATCCAATTTGAATTTCCAGATTTAATTAGTCCAATTTTATATGTCCAATTAAGTCTTCTAATTTGAACTTCCAATTTAATTTCCTCCAATTTAAATATCCCGGGGCCCTTTGTATTGGGACCCCGGTTGCCCTACGAATAATTATTTATAAATAAAATAAACTATTAAACCTAACACAAATTTCTCTAACACTCACTTTTTATTATATTTCGGCACAAACACTATTTTAACATTTTTGTTCTGTCTGCTGGGACAATATGGCTGCAACTATATAGAAATTTGCCTATCATGCCTATATCTCGCCATATTCCCTTCGCCTCTCTCGAAATTGGGTCATTGGACATATCAAGGCCATCCTAGCCATACCCAGAGCGAACCGGGCTAGTTTAAAATAGCTAGATAGCCAAGACATCAGCAGAAGGGGGCGCCACTCCAGTAGGAGTTGCCACCCTCCTTCTTTATCGATAGCCCTACCAAAAACGAATACCTCCTTCTTAATTCTTCCAGCCGATTCCAACTTGAAATGCAACAACTTTAATCTTTCCAGTGTGACCAAAAGTTTGAGAGTTCATCAGATTTAAGCGTGCTACGGTCGTACTGTCAATCAGCTGGGTTTGTTGACAAGCAGTTAAAATTCAAATATCGTATTTGTGGGAAAGAGCCTTTAAAAGATATTATCAAATACCTTGGCAAGACAAGTCTGCCGCTGTACAAAGAAATTAAAAAACAATACAATTTAAATTTAACAGTTGTTTTTTTTTAATTTACTGATAATTATTTGCTGATTTAAAGTTCATAGCTGCACTTTTATTGTGTTTTTTCGTACATTCTGGACCTAAAAACATTTTGCTCTGACAAGAGGCACCCCAGATAGTATTAATGTTATTTTGTCCTCACATGTAAACACCTGCAATCGACTTTTGTGAGTTTTTTGAGTTTTTCCCTCCATTTCTTATAATGTTCAGTGAGAAGCGCACGCCGAAAGATTAAATTTTTTAATCTTTTCGCTAGGGTTCACCCAAAGTTGATTTCCGCAGACTGGCAACGCTATGGAATTTTCTGGTATTTTTTTCGTCGATCAGGAGACCGACGTGAAAAAAAGGCCCGACGAAAAGTGAACGCCAGCTGTTTGCCTCTCGCTCTCTCTCATGACTGGCGGACAGTTTTCGTCGATCTGGATACTAGGCTTAACAACGTAAAAAGTATCAGACCCAGAAGGCTCCATTGTGGGACACCGGAGGTATCACTGAGAATTTTTTTTATAGATTGTCGACCACGCCACACAAGGATGGACCTTGTTTTCGTGTATTGACAAATTATTTCTAAAGATACCAAAAAGAACGGGTAGCGGGACAATTTTCGAAATTGAATTTTTAAAATAAAAAGGAACCTTTATGACTTGCCATTTAGGTAACTTGAGATCCATATAAGGAGATCAACTGGAAAACGTAACAGGTCAAGTTTTTGAACAAGAAATAAGTGAGTCAAATGCTTTACTAAAAAAATAATTGATTGATATGCAAATGAGGAGTAATGCTGCAAGTGAGGAGTAATGATTTTTTCAAAAAGCTTGGGAAAGCTGACAACTTAAATATACCTCTACAGTTACTGGCTTCTAACATGTTACCTTTTTTGTAAAGAGGAATAACATTTCGAATGTCATTGTCAATGTGTCAGATATTTAGTAGAAGCTTTGCGGTTTACGAAATGGTTAAGTTTACGCTCGAAGAAAATTGCGAAATATTGAAAACTTCCTTCCAAATTCTTCAACCGAAACTGCAAGAAAATTGCTGTCAAATTTCGGAAAAAATAAAGGGCCTTCCAGGTAGTTTGTGGATAGTTTTGTGAAGCGTGTGCGTGAGACTGGATCGTTGATGGATAAAACAACACGTTTACGTGCTCGTACAGTTCGGTCGGTGGAAAATATCGGTGCGGTGGCCGAAAGTGTCAATGACAATCCGTCAACATCAACAACGTAAAAAGTATCAGACCCAGATGGCTCCCTTGTGGGACACCGGAGGTATCACTGAGAATTTTTTTTTTATAGATTGTTGACCACGCCACACAAGGATGGACCTTGTTTTCGTGTATTGACAAATTATTTCTAAAGATACCAAAAAAAGCGGGTAGCGGCGCAATTTTCGAAATTAAATTTTTAAAAATGAACCTTTATGACTTGCCATTCAGGTAACTTGAGATCCATATAAGGAGATCAACTGGAAAACGTAACAGATCAAGTTTTTGAACAAGAAGTAAGTGAGTCAAATGCTTTACTAAAGAGATAATTGAATGATCTACAAATGAGGAGTAATAATGCAAGTAAGGAGTAATGATTTTTTCAAAATCTTAGAAAGCTGACAACTTAAATATACCTCTACAGTTACTGGCTTCTAACTTGTTACCTTTTTTGTAAAGAGGAATAAAAAATGATTCCTTCCAAATACTTGGAAATTGGGAATTTTCTAGAGATAAGGTAAACAACTTGTGAAGAGGTTTTCACAGGGCCTTAGCACAATACCTAAGCACGCACACAGGAATACCATCGGGCCCTGGCGAATAAGCAGGCTTAATACGAATAAGATCCAAAAGAAGAGAGCTTTCTGTTAAAGTGGGACCGAATATGAGGTTTGACTTGGATATGGTGTAAAAATAAGGCTGTGATGAATGATATAAAGTAGAGTAAGTGGTTTGAAACGAAGTTATAAAACTGTTTCGGTTCGTGAGAGAACTGGACCTTACAACGGTTTAAGTAATTATTATAACACTGAGCATTAAGCACGGTAAGTCTTAACCGAGCACTTAAGGGGTTATCCGGGTCTTGGAGCACGAAAAAAAGCCTATTTTCGTGAATTTTTTTAAAAGATCTTACGACAATTTCACAAATTTCGTTTATTGTACATTAATGTTTATGGTTTGTCCAACATTGTGTAAAAATTTGAACCAAAAATTTTTAAAATTGAGCCGTTGAGGCAGGCTTGAACTTGACCTCTTAAAAAATTGTGCCCTTGCGGTAGGCAAAATATCTCCGTCAATTTTTTTCTGAAATCAAAAAACCAAAATTATTCTGATAGTGTGTGTGTCTCGCTTGTCCTCTACGAGCCCTTTTTTTTTTAAATTAAAAATTGAATTTTTTGTAGCGCTTTTCATAAAAAGTGTCCTTTTTTACGTAAATTTTGGTCATATTTTGGCTTATAAAATGAGTTGTAATTAAAAATTAAAAAAATCCCTCCGTTAAGGACAAGAGAATTATGTCTAAAAGAAGTGTGCAAAAGCAGAAGTTGATCGGTGCAATAGTTTTTGAGAAATCGTGACTACCGACTTCAAAAAAGTGGTTTTGAGAAAAACGCGTTTAAAGTGCCGCATCTGCCCGACGCCAGAGCCCGAATTACCCGTTGTGACGTTCGAAGCGCTGGGCTTTAAATTTCTCCCATTCCTACATTTTTGCTTCGATCGACTTGAAATTTTCAGACAACATTCCTGAAACTTTGTACTATTATATAAAAAAGTTTGAAAAAAATGAATTTTTTGAAGTGCCAAGACCCGGATAACCCCTTAAATATCTAGCAAAAACAGATTGAGAACCGGTACTTTTATATTTCCTAAAAAGTCTGGACCCTACATTTGTTAAGCGTGGGTACTCTTTGCTAAACCAAGGTGATTTATTGGAGATTGACGGATAGTACCACGGAGCACAGGAATTAAAAAATGAGTTTATAGCAGTGTAAAAAACATTAACTGCATCGGACTTTTATTGCATAAGTAAAGATCAGACCAATCAAAGCCAGAAATAAAATCATTTAGTCTCAGAAAGGCTGCCTTCCGAAAACAATGTATTCGTTTGGTTGATTTTTCTAAGTTTTTCTCTATAACTGTACCTGTGTCAATTGTAAGTTTGATTGTTGCGTGAGTGGTGCTCCCCTGGACAGAAACACACCTTCAGAATTAAAATCAGGTTGTGCTTCAGTGGACAGATATAGGTATATTAAATTGACCTAATAACGGAAAGGTGATTTAAGGGGGTATATACCTTTTTTTGTCGAAAAAAATAGGAAAGTTTGAATTTTTTTATGTATGTAACTATTGTTTTTATTAAATGAATGATTATATTTTCTGAAAGTTTAGATTGTTGACAATGTTTATGCAAAAATTTTTGAAAAAATATTTAATAGTCTTTAAGGTATGGCTGTTTCCCTTAAACGCCTTTTTTTTAAAGAGCCTTGCGGTGATAATTCCCCAGGACAAATTTAGTTTATATTTCATTAGTTTAAAGTAGTATCCTGTACTTGAACGAACGTTTTAAAAAAATTTTTTTTTTTGTGCATACGGGAACGTTTAATGCAAAAAATGACGTTTCATCATATAAACTGGTCATTTCATTCAACGAAAATTTTTTTTTTTTTTTTTTTAACTTGGTTTTTATTTTTTGAATCTTCTCTTAATTTTGAGACTAACAATAAGTTTACGAATCTTAACATAAAAATTTAATTAACAGTATAATAAGACTGCATTCTGGTTGCGCGTCCCTCAAGTCGGTCGCTGGGTGGGTAAGTCATTGCGACGAAGGCATGATTGGTTGATCAACCTTGTAAGACCTCTCGCCAGGTGGTTAGGGTGCAACGATAGCTTGGTAAAGTACTTTTCCTTCTGTTCTGCAATCACATCTTTGACTGGTTGAATGTTTAAGTCGCGATGTATGTTTTCGTTGCGAACGTACCACGGTGCCCCGGTGATAGTTC